CCTGAGACTGGCGACGGTGATTGCGATAACGTCACAGACAGTGGCTGCTCAATACCGACGTGTACATTAGTCTCGTAATCGCTCGGCTGTCTTCGACATAACAATGAATCGGGAGTAATGTTCTTTAATGGCACAAACGTGACTACTAGTATCCGGTATTTGTAAATTAAATAATGTTTTTAGATTTTTTTTCGAAGAAGAAGTATGTCCGTTGCTTCTTCTAAATCATAAATACAAATCCATGGGGAAAATGTGATCGAGTTTCAGGGACGGGCAATTTATTAAAATTTCTAGAAAAATAATATGATGGCGACAAGCCTCGAAAAGCGCTGGTGCCATGATAAAACCGCTGTTGAAATGGTGTTGAATTGCGGCGTCACCAATCCGCAATATGCTTTCAAGACGCTATCGGGCCTCGAATTGGACCACGATGTGGTAATTTCCGGTCGTTCGAAGTTCATCCACCACATTACATTGTACCTAGCTCCTACTCGCTATTACTTATGTTGCTGTCTATACAATCGCCTGGGCATTTTTTTCAACGGTATAGGACATGAACACTTGGGCCGTTTGAACGATTCTTTATATATATATATACACATATATTCCGACACACAGTTATAGAGAACAAGGTAAGGCTGTCTTAATTTTCAACTTGTTAAATGTAGTTTGTGGACGGCGTACAAACCGTGACTCCCCGCCACCAGCTTACATTGTGGGGTGCAGTTCACCGGACGCAACGAGGATCACCTTCTTTTGTTGTCCTGTTTTTTCGTCGCTATCTGAATTTTGATTTACTTTGTCCAGTCACACCAATCGTAAGCCTGTCATAGTAAGAGGAAGTCGTCTCGACGTATCTGCATATCAAACTTAAGCGCCGGGACTGTGCGATCGCGGAGACGGACCGGTGCGTGAAATTAAAAGTATATAAGAAATCCACGCATCACAATCACAGTCTTGAATTGTAATTCTATGGTACTTGCGATAAAACGTATTTTATGTTGCACCTTTGCTAACTAGACAATAGAGTCATTCAGCGCAGATATATGGGTTAGCCTTCTGCCGTAAAAAGCACGTGCAGGGGATGTAGTCTGCCATCTCACCCGTGTTGTAGCAATCACCTTTCCAACAGTAATGGCAAAAAGGGGACGTGTGATCAGACATGGGCCGTACTCTGAACACCAGACTTTTAGAAATCAATAAATGAAAGTTGAAATAAAGAGCTCAACTTGTCACTGCCATCCAGAATTACAAATAGACCTAGTCATGAGTACCTAATTAGATAGTCATTCAGTTTCTTTGGTCCATCGCCTGAAGCCACTAGGTGACGGGTCTTGTCATTGGCACCTGCCTACCGAAAAAACTGACAGGGACTTAATAAAATATAACCTTCGAGGCACGTGCACACTTGATTTTGACACTTCTTTCTTAACCGGCTACCAAGTCGTCATTCAAAGCCAAGTCAGAAATATTTCACAACCCCTTCAGTTATGTGTCAAATGGCAACATCCGACAAGAGTTCACACTGGATGTAAATCCATTGAGACGAGGGTGTTGAAATGATACCTATATTTACACACCAGAACATTAGGGTCAATGCAAGTCATATTCAACTTGGCAGAGAACCCCAGTTCCTGGTTATATCCCTCTAATCATGGAGGTATAACAGATTGTTTATACCTCCATGCTCTAATCATCTAATCATTGCTCAATTCCGCTTTTAAAATTTCTCTCAGATCCGTCGATCACCGTCCACGCGGCCTATCCACCTAATGTGTTGGGGTGCATGACACCAGTCACGCCAATAAACAATGAAACTATAGCAACCGTCTTCTCTTGGGAATGCCTGGTCTCGTGGGATATTACATTTGTGCGACTGTTATTGTGTCGGATACATGGGTACAAGCGAATATGGACAAATACGACTTTGGCGCTAGTACCCGTCAGAGAGCTTCATATACTAAAACTGATCGAGTAAATATATACTTCCGAGTACAGGGAAGTGGGTCACTGCGTCTTTTATCGATATATTACTTTTTTCCTAGTTCTTGACGCCACTTAAAAACGTGGTTTAGTGCGTATTTTGTAGTAAAATTAATTGCACATTCGTTTGGAACAATGCTGCAGACATTCTGCTATTTATGAAGATCCCCGTCAAAAGTTCAATGTAGCCGCGGCCTGCATCCAACCCCCGCTATTCATGTCAATACAGTTACTGCGGTCCACTGAAAAATACATATTGTTTTATAAATTTTTAATACTGTGAGTTTTAGTGAAGAAAAAATGTTAAATATAATAATAATAATTTCAATAGAATGATATAATAGAGGGCTTGTTCCGCCATAATCGTTGTATAATAATTCTCTCACGCTATGTGACAACATTTCATATTGGTTCAAAATGATGCATCATTTAATGGCGTCTAGTCCAAAGGGTCAGGGAAGTATAGAAATATACTAGATGTCGAATATGACCGACAAACTATCCAATGGCGGTGCAGCGCAGAGACTCTTGGCTCTGATCGGAGTT